CCCCCCCCATTTTGTTTTGTTTCCAAATCCTGGCCATGGGTGCCATATCATGTGAGCAAGTGTTAAAGCAACTTTAAATATGAAAAAATATGATGCATCAACACTATCAGTTCCCTGAACAATCTTAAACACTTCAATCAAATCCCCATTAACTCCTTTTTTCAAGGTGAAACAATTTCATAGATCTTAACCTATCGTTGTAATTTTCCTCTTAACTCTTTCCAACAATTCAATGTCCTCTATACGGTAAGGAGCCCAAGACTGAACACAGTTCTCCAAAGTGGCCTAGCCAATGATCTACACAATCACATTATAACCTCTTTAGGTTTGTATTCAATATTTCTGTAGATAAAACCTAAAATCCTATGTACCCTGCCACTAACAACAACAACATTGTTTGGATGGCTTAAAAGACTGATCAACCAGAATACTAAGATTATTTTCTTCCATAACACTGTTAAGGTTATTCCCATCAAAATAATACTAATAATTCAAATTTTGATTTTCCACGTTCATTACTTTGCTTGTCTGCCATTTATTTTGCCCAACTTGCCAAATAATCTGAATCCTTTTGTAAAGCAGCACCATTCTCCTCATAGCCAGCAACATCCAAGACTTTAAGTTCATCAGCAAGTTTAAATATTTTGCTGACTATTCCTTCATCTATGTCATTGGTGTAAACCAAAAAGAGCAGTGGTCCTAACACTAAGCCCGGAAATATTTGAGAGTATGTTTATTTATAACAGAAACATAACTGTTAGACATACAGTTTTATGATTCTAAATTTTCTTATAGCAGTAGACTCTTTAAATTTCATCTCTGTTTAAGTATTTTACCTATAAATACCAAAGCAATGTAAAAATGTTTTTCATTTTAGTTGTTTTTGGGACCACTATTTTTAATACTTATAATTACATATATTCATTTAAAATGTAGCTCATTAGTTTTATAAGATTGTTTTTCTGTTGTATTTTGTATTCAAACTTAAAGTATTGTTTGTCAGCATTGTATTATTAGGCACATTCCAGGTGTTTACACTTAAATATGCTATTAATAATTTACTTTTAGTAGTAAATAGAGATGTGTACTCCTAAATTAGTGATTAGTTATAATATTAGGTTTGTAAAAAAGTAGTCTTGTTAGTTGCTTGTTGAGTATAGTCCCATCATTCATTATAATATTCTAGGTTGTCAAGATAAAATGTGTTCTTATTACCGGTACCATTGGATGGTGTTACTTATAGACCTCACCTAGAGATCTACATGTATAAACTTATACTGAGTTACTGCCCAAAATTGAAATAGTTATTCATATGATCATAAAATGGACTATTATTCAGTGTGAGCTAATATTTCTTATTGTAAGGTGTGCACATAATGAAGCAGTAGTGCTTCTTTTGTTTTGTAGATTTAATGTAATGTTTCATTCAACAACAAAAACACACACAAGTAAGTGTTTCCAAACTGATAAATATTTTTCAACATCATTTCTATATCACAGACAAAATATGTCAACTAAGGGTGTGAGAAATGTAAGAAAATTGAAGAGGCCAAGGCCACTGAAGCTAGTATCAGAAGGCAGTAGTCATCAGAGCACAGTTTCAGCATCATCTGGGGACCAGAATGAGATCACAAGTTAGTTTTTATGCAGGTGCTAACTTTGTTTGTTGAAGTGACTAATCACTTGTAAATATTTTTGTCTAGATATTTATATATACATTATTCCACAAATATTATAGAAGTTGTTCACTAATACATAGTTGAAAGTGAGCCTTATTGTTGTGAAATTTTATATAGTAATGTATGGTGATAATCATTTAGATATGAACCATGTATTTTATCAAAACCAAGATTACATGAAGTACGTTTTTATGGCCCAACCTGTTACTTCAAGAATAACTTAAGTTTTGACATACTTATTCAGGATACTTTGAAGTTCATAATTAAATATCTGATAATTTAACTAGAGTTTGCAGGTCCATGAAATCATGAAAAGTCATAGAAAATGAGGTTGAAAAATTTCAGTACTGGGAATCCTGTAAAAATGGCTATTTTTAAGCTATGGTGCTATAAAAGTCATAAAACTTTACTTTGAACCCATGAAATATTTGGCTCAATCAAAAAAGGTTTTGTTATTTGGAATTTTTTTGTGTCAGTCATTGTGAATTTCATCTTATGAGAACTGAAACTGTTACATTTTCTGCTTGTGGACATGTATGATAAATTTAAGTGCTAGGAAAATGTAAGTTTAATGCTGCATGGCAGGATTTGAGACACCTGGAAAATTAATAATGGGTCCTGGGAAAAAAGTCTTGAAATTTATTTTTCTTAAGGCTGTGAAACCTACTTGACTGAAACTGACAGAAATTTTTTTATTTTATGCTACTCTGTTTTATAGTAAAAAAAACTTCTTGGGTAATAAATTTTTAAACCAAAAAATATAGATGTTATTTATGGTTGTTAAAATACTTTTTTTTGTCATGCTAAAATTGTTTAGACTTGTTTTAATATGTCTGGTGAGTGTTGTATCTTGTCTGTCTTAATAATATCTGAATTGATCATGAAGCTTTGTTGCTAGTAAATGACAGATGTGTACTCGTATACACAAAGAAGTATTGAAAATATATTCAAGTAAGTATTGATAAATCACAAACTAAGTATAATTGTGAAATTAGAAAAAAAAATGTTGATATTATGACCATAATTCAGGCAAACACCTATATAAAGAGATCAATGTATTCTATAACTTTCAGTAAACCTCAATTTTAAACTGCTTCATACAATTTTGTTAATTTATTTTTAGCCAATTGCTTAGTATTTTTTAGAGATTAATAAAAGCTGTTGCAAATTAAAAAGCTTGAGATTGGTACAGATGTATCTATTTTCAGATACTGTGTATTAGTTTCACGTGATAACTTTAAAATATTTCTAAAAATGAATATGTGAAATTCATAAACAGTGAGTACACAGTAAAACAAATTGCAAAATTATTGATAGATCAACTCTGTTATAATTACATTAATTTGTTTTCACTGAATATATTTTTACAGTGTTAAAACTGTGAAATGCTTGCTTTTGTTTGTAAATAGAAAATTTTTCATTCACTCTAAGTTTGAAAAATGCAAGTTTTTACTTGTACAATTTCTGGTTATTGGCACAATTATGGACATTTTATAATGGGTAAAAGTTTATGGCTAAGAGTTATTGTACTTTGACATATAATACTATGACATATTTTATATATTAGTAGAAAAAAAATATTTCTGAGTAGACGAGCAACTGTTCTTCATGTCTACTGAAAACAAATTAACAAAGATGTATTAAGTACTGTTTTAATGATGATATTGCAGTTGATGATGTGATTCATGACCTTGAAGCTTTGCATATATCAATCAACAACAGCAACCTTGATGACTCCACGTTATCAAAGATCATAAAAGTTTGTAGTCAACTGAAGAGTAAAGGATTTCAGCTAGAAACAAGCTACAAAGGTAAATAACACTATTAACTTATGGACTTAAAAAGTTTTTAAAGTTTCAGAGCAAATAGATTTAATCTTAGAAGAATGAAGTGCTACTAATATACAGTAATAATTAAAGTGTGTGTTTATTATCTAAGATGTTTACCTTTATTTTTAGAGGGAATCTGTAATTACTCTCAGTGTATAGTAATGATTTATAAACATACTCACTTCTTTTTTTTTGTACACGTTGTACAAATTTTTTACATTTTATTTATTTAATGCTATTAAATACATTAGTTAAATTTGTGTGTGTGAGTTAAATAAACTATCTGTCATACTAATGATGAAAAACTAGTGGAAATGCTTGCACATATTTAGATTTGTGTTTTGTAATTTTTCAGAACAACTAGACCGCTACTTTGTAACATTAAGGAATGTATCAAGGGATGAACGTTTAAATGAACTTTGTCGCATGCACTTACTTGAAGTTATCGAGTTGAGGGCTATGATGTGGAAGATGAATGACAATTTCAACAATTACTATAAACAAAAGATTATCCAAGTTGAGGTAAAGATACAAAATTATCCATGTTCAGTTAATGAATGTAATAGATCTCCCATCTTTAGGTAATAAAACATGAACTCATTCATGTTGAGTTAATGAAAACAGAAAAATCTTATAAAAGCTTCAAAATGATTGGATGAAGTCCATTAAAGCATTTTAGAGAAACCACATTCCTCTTCCCATTAATTTTACGGTTGAAGATGAGAAATTAAAATTTGCTTCTCAAAGTATTTATGATAAAAGTTCAAATATTGGTTTATCCTTTGCAGTTTATCAACATATTAATGCAGTCTAATAGCATTTTTCTCTTTCATCTAGCCTGTGGAACTCCTATAGTAAGTACAGTGCAATAACATGATAAAATATGTGTCTGAATACATAAGAGCTAAGTTGAAAAGTTAAAAAACAATTTGCATGAAATAACTAATGTTTTTTTTTTGTTTCTGATCATCAGACTGCGGGCTCAGCAGTATCAGCCCTGACCACTAATCAATCAGTCACTACTGCCTCTCCTAGTTTCGTGTTTGAACAGAATTCAGTATATGTTCCCTCTACCAATCAATCCCAGCCTTCTCTAGCACCAGGAGAAGTTTTCAAGTCGTCAGGAAAATTTGCTAAACCCACCAAGTTAGTTGGGAAAAATAAAACATATACATACATTGTGTGTGTCAGTTTCAGTTCTTTCTTCTGATAGTGACATTGAGTAACAGCTTCCTCGTTTATCTGTGTGTGTGTTTTATTAACTTAAGGTTATATCAGATTTTTCTCTTGAAGAGATTTTGACTGAATACAGTGTGTATATATAGATAGATATATACATGTTCATTGAAAGAGGGAGAAACACGTAAGCTGTGATTTTGTTTTGCTGTTATACTGAAATGAAATATATTAAATAGAGCGTAATTAGAATCTGCATTATATTATATATGTTTCAGAATTCCTGGGAAGAATTATTTCAAGGATGAAATCGTTATTCGTAACTCTGATTCAGGAAAAGGCAAGTTTTATCTTTTATTTCATTGGTTATCATACACTTTTTTTTACAAAATAAAGGATTATATATGACCTTTTTGTTTAGAATAAGCTCATTGCTATACAAGTGTCATTCCTTTTTTTTTTCCAAAGCTTTAGAGCATATTTTAGACATTGTTTCACCATGTTGCAACTAGAATGTTTGACTGGTTCATTGAAATATTTTGAAACATTTTATGGAAAATTAGCAAACAAGTCAATATTCTATATCTGTTAAAAGTTGTCTAATTTGCTGTCAATGGATACTAAAGATGTAACATCAAAAATGAACCTTTTTTCTCATTGGCTAAATACAAATATTGTACATATTACTCTATGGTAAGCTGGTGTACACACCAAAACTCTTTAACCCTTTCCAGTCAATATCTTGTGTTTTTACAGGGGCAAAATGATGACATTTATGTTATGTTTTCCTACATTCTCTTTCAAATTTTCCTCAAGTTTTTGTTTTATAAAATTGTAACTTTATCTTTTTTTGAAAAACAATGCATGCTGTTTCACTATGTTTACAACTGCTAGCATACAATAAAAATAACTTTTTTTTTTTTACCTTAACCAATTTGTAAGCAAACTAATTTATATAATAACTTTTAACCAAATGTATGCGGGGTTGGTTCATTTTACAGACTCCCTATTGGAGAAGGAATACGAGTATAATTCCAAATTTATATACAATATGACAGTCTTTTAGTAATATGTACAGATCTGTTGAACACAAAAAATCAGATGTATTACTAAGATATTTGTACTTAAGATATGTCTGTGAATTAACATCAGTCTAGTTCAAACTGAAACAAGTTGGAGTGCAAGGTGATGTTCACGTGAAGAATAAAAATACTGTTGTCCATCGTATAGTTTGCATTTACATAACCTCTACAATATCTGAAATGCGTATCTAGTTTTTCAGTATCTGTATATTGCTAAATCAGCAATGTAGGGTAAAATGAATGGTTGATAGTTCGGACTTGAATTATATGACACCATATTGAATAGCACTTTGACCTCAACCCATATACCCATTTTTTATATATATATGTATGTATTACTTTTGATGATCTTCGATCATCAATGTCTATTCAATATATTGGGATTGTAACTGCAGTGGAAATTGTTTGCTAACACCTTTTTTTTCTGGCAGCATATCACCAAACTAAGCTGTTATCACTTTGTTCCAATCACTGTGTAAATCCCTGTTGAACTGAAAGATTTTATGACTTTCACAATTAAAAATAATGGAAAAAATCTTTCATGACGTGCTTAGATCAGTAGTCCACAGCTTCTTGAAGCTGAGATATAGGCAGTTACATCACATCATGAGAACTGAGAATGATTGTTAGCAGTGTGCTGAAATTATCCCAAAATCAAAATCTGTGATTTAAATTTTTATTTATATATATAGATTTATATAAACCAGTTTTATATAGTAAATTTCAACTCTGACTTATTTTATTTTTGTTTGTGTGGGAAACTAAATGTTTGTTTTCTATAGTTTTTTAGTCAAATGATGCTATTTTGCCCTTGAAATGAACTGCACATATCCAAGCATGAAAGAGTTTAATTAAATTTTATAATCATAGGCTAAGTATAAATAGTGTATGTATTATACCATGCTGTGCTAATTTAGCATATACATAAAAGCCTTTTAGATTAAACTTTATTGTTATTGGCTGAATACAGATGTAATACAGTATATGTATTTCACTATACTGTGCTGTTCTACTGTGCTATTTAAACATTCTATTCTATTAGGTGAACAAAGCTCTGAATACAGATGCTGTATGTATTACATCATACTATGCTGTTCTAATATATCCACCAAAGCTCTATTAAATTAAACTTTATCATCATTGGCTGATTACAGATTTTCTAGGTATCACACCATGCTCTGGTATTCTAGTCTTATCAACAAAGTTCTTTTAAATTACTGCCGAGAAGATTTAGCTTGTTTTGAGTATGCTTTTTGGAAAATATGTTGATGAGGTTTATAAAAAAAAAAATAATAATAATAAAGTTTAAATAAGATGCTCTTATATATCAAACACAACAACTGCAAGTTTTTTTTCATGTGTATTATTTCATTTATCACCACTGCAGTTCTAAACTTTACCATCTCAAGTTGAAGAAAGAACCACTATAAAATGTTGGTAATAAAAGAATTGCTAAACTTTTTGAACTCTTAACAATAGTGAACTTGCAAATATCTGTAGAATTGTATAGGTTAAAAATTAAAAAATGTAGCTTAGGAATTACTAGAATGTTCTAGATGTAATGTTTGATCTAATTCAATTAAAGAATACAGTCATAAATACAATGGTCAAATGTTTCAACTTAGCAAAGAATTACAGCAAATGAATGATTAGTTTTACATTCACCTTGTTGCTGAATAAAGCCTAAATCTGTTTATTGTTATTGCTGTAAGATTCTCAACAATTTTCAATGTTAATCTCTTACCAACAACCTGAAAAATTCTTACCAGTTTTACAATCACACTTTAATTTACTTTTGTACTGTTCTTGTATTTCTCCAAGTAATGGGAATCAAAGGCCGAAGGGTTCACACGATTGAGGAGCTGAGCAACACTATTATCTCTTTTCAGAGAGGTGAAGTAGAGGCAGTTTTTATTGTTTTTACTTAGTTCGCATGAAACCATGTTGCATGATTTGCTAGTGACATAAGCAAAGACGGAATATGTTTGGTTCAGGTTTCTGATGTCCTACCAGAGCTTTCACAAAAATGCATCTTTTTCTTGCAAAAAATGTTTTTATTTTCTTTGAAAATTGCTCTGTATCTGCCTCTATTTGTTATCATGCTATGTATGTTTTTATTATATATATTCTTACTTTATGTAGATGATCTTTTCTATGACTCTGTTTACTTGTATGTTCTTTTGTATGAACAAAAGTGTATACACAACTTTGTAAAAAAGAAAAATAAGTTACAACTGACTTGCTTTATTATTTACAGCTGTGGTTCTCAATCTGTAGTCTACGGAATCCTTGAGTATTCTAAAAAGGATCCATAAAAAAAAGTTTTCAAATTATGGTTTATAAAAGAAATGATATTATGTTTGAATAACCCATTCAAAATTTTATTGAACTACTATTTCATGAATTAATTCAACAAGTTTAGTATCAAACTGTAGATTATAATTCAAATTTTAGAAGTATACATTACTAAATTTGTTAATATAAAAGTAAATATTAAAAAACACAGATAAACATCGACTTTTGTGTGTCATGTGGTATGTTGAATGCAGCACTGGTTCTAATTAGATGTTTGTGAAGTCAAAATACTAAGTCTATAGTTTCATACAAATTAGAAACTCAAATTACATATATTGACAAGCTAGAATATAAAAATAAGAAGGTCATATTTTCTATTTGCTAAGATATTGCTCACATAATAAATCAAACATAGTGGCTCCCCACCCACCTCTTTCCGTTTTTGGAAATGCTCCCTTATATACACATACTTCTATATATGACATGAATAATAAGTCAGAAGCTCAGAATTTCCCCTTAGTGGTTTTCTCAGCCTTTCTAACGTACCTAGTGCCATTTCTTTCTTTTGAACAAAGATTTCAATGAGGTAGGTTGTGTCCTTAGTCTGCATGAAATTTCATATATTTTTAGACCCAAATAAAGCTTAGTTATTGAGCTTAATAAATTATAGTATAATTCTATAGTATTAATGTAGTAATTTATAATTTTTTTGATATTCAAATGTATATATAAAACCTAAAAAAAAATTTAGGTTACATATCCTCCATGTGCAAAATTTGTTAAGGCTTAGCAACC